TCAACATAGGGTTTACTCGGCATGTCAACATAGTATTTACTGGGCATGTCAACATGGGGTTTTCTGGGCATGTCGACACAGGGTTTACTGGTCATCTCAACATAGGGTTGATTGGCATGTCAACATAGGGTTTACTGGGCATTTCAACATGGTATTTTCTGGGCATGTCGACATAGGGTTTACTGGGCACGTAAACAAAGGATTTACAGGGCATGTAAGCATAGGGTTTACAGGGCATGTCAACATAGGGTTTACTTGGCATGTCAACATAGGGTTTACTCGGCATGTCAACATAGTATTTACTGGGCATGTCAACATGGGGTTTTCTGGGCATTTCGACACAGGGTTTACTGGTCATCTCAACATAGGGTTGATTGGCATGTCAACATAGGGTTTACTGGGCATTTCAACATGGTATTTTCTGGGCATGTCGACATAGGGTTTACTGGGCATGTCGACGTAGTATTTGCTGGGCATGTCGACATAGTATTTGCTGGGCATGCCAACATAGGGTTTACTGGGCATCTCAACATGGTATTTACTGGGCATGTCAACATAGGGTTTACTTGGCATGTCAACATGTGTTTGTTTTTTTGTTCATATCGATATTGGATTTACTGGGCATGTCGACATAGGGTTTACTGGGCACGTAAACATAGGATTTACAGGGCATGTAAGCATAGGGTTCACTGGACATCTCAACATAGGGTTGATTGGCATGTCAACATAGGGTTTACTGGGCATGTCAACATAGGGTTTACTGGACATCTCAACATAGGGTTTACTGGACGTCTCAACATAGGGTTTACTGGACATCTCAACACAGGGTTTACTGGGCATCTCAACACAGGGTTTACTGGGCATGTCAACATAGGGTTTACTGGGCATGTCAACAAAGGGTTTACTGGACATCTCAACATAGGGTTGATTGGCATATCAACATAGGGTTTACTGGGCATGTCAACACAGGGTTTACTGGACATCTCAACATAGTATTTACTGGGCATGTCAACATAGGGTTTACTGGGCATGTCGACATTGGGTTTACTGGACATCTCAACATAGGGTGGATTGGCTTACAAACAATTTGTTCCCTGTCTGCGCCGGCCAAATCATTAAAAAAAATAATCGAGAGTGTTTCAACATAACCACTGTTTAGTGTCGATGCCAGATTAGAACAATTAGTTAAACCAGAAATGTATACGCAAAAGTACTCGGTGTCAAGCCAGCACATAACAAAGAAATGTGCCATTCACAATTTCTACAGGAAACATTACTTGGCTTACAAATCTATAAAATACTGCCAAATAATTAGAATGACAATACACTATATGGTGGTAGTACACAATTCAATGGCAGTACAAAAATTTAAAATTAATAGCAATGGTAGTAGCAATAAAGTCAGAGATAATAATATTCACCAAGCAGCAACAATGGTCAAGCTTCCAAAATTGGCCCAGGCTGAATATCCAGAGTGAAAATAGTATCTTCACCCAGCCTCTGGACTTGATGTAATGTGAGATGAGAGATGCATGTTATTTCCCGCTTATAGACTCTAAATATCTTGTTAGTATATAGCTGTTCTAGAAGATTCCAGATTGTACTTGTACCCCAAAGAATCAACGTACAGTAACTTCCACACCACTGCTTACATTATCTAGTAATACATTCCTGACAACGGTTTATCACTAAAACACAATGTCATGAATTTCCACTGAATCCTTACATAAACAATGTAATCCATTACAACATTGCCATGTTACAAAACCAATTAGAGACCTGGCATCACCGTTAGCAATAGCTATTTTAACACTATATGAATTGAAAGCATGGATCTATAAGGTGAATAATCCTGTATATACACAAACTGTCAGATAAACAGTGATGTATATACTCAAACTATCAGTTTTTACTCCTGTATATACTCAAGCTGTCAGTTAAATACTCCTGTATGTAACCTGTCACGTAAATAGTCCTGTATATACTCAAACTTTCAGGTAAATACTCCTGTATATACTCAATCTGTCAGGTAAATACTCCTGTATATATTCAACCTGTCACGTAAATAGTCCTGTATATAACCTGTCACGTAAATAGTCATGTATATACTCAACCTGTCACGTAAATAGTCCTGTATATACTCAAAATCAGGTAAATACTCCTGTATATTCACAAACTGTTAGGTAAATAATCCTGTATATACACAAACTGTCAGGTAAATACTCCTGTATATACACAAACTGTCAGGTAAAGACTCCTGTATATACTCAATCTGTCAGGTAAATACTCCTGTATATTAAAATAATGTCAGGAAAATACTCCTGTATATACTCAAACTGTCAGGAAAATACTCCTGTATATTCTAGTACTCAACCTAAAACTCAGGTTGCTTTTTTTTTTCTTTTAAAACTTCGAATTTTGCAAACGTTGTGACTAACTTTCGCTTGCCAGTTTTGCGGGGGTGGTCTGGTAGCCTAGTGGTTTAAGCGATCGCTTGTCACGCCGAAGAACCGGGTTCTATTCCTGACATGGGTACAATGTGTGAAGCCCATTTGTGATGTCCCCCGCCGTGATATTGCTGGAATATTGCAAAAAGCAGCGTAAACCCTCACTCACACCCAGGTTTGCTCATTTCGTTCTAATATTTGTGTTTTTAGCATGATTAGTTTATGAGTGTGTTGATCAAATGATCCACCAGACTAAATTAAATTTCATCATTACAGATACAGGAACTCGAGGAACGTGATGCGCTACGTGAGAAACACATCCAAGACTTAATGGAACAAAAACAAAAAGGTTGGATTTCTATAACCTGTTGGGAACATTGAAACATCTTTATCATGAGCATGTGATGATACCAGGTATTTGCGAAAAGGGGAGTCAAATGCGGGAATTTCGTCGGACATCATTTTTGTCACTGATGCGTCAAATTTTGATATGTCCTCCCCATATTTACCATAAAGCTTTTGAAAGCTTCACTGAGGCCTTGAGTGTTGTAACCTTGATTAAACAACGACTGAGCAAGAGTCAGATGATGGTCTTTGAAATCTTGGCAGAAAGAGCGTGCTTGATTGTACCTCAAAAGTTGTGAAATATAAACACCAAAGGCTGGAGTTGATGGAATACAGACTTGATACACCAGTCCTGTGTTTCTAATGGCAGCGGGAAGCGTCATTAATGCGTCTATCACTGTACAGTAGACATGATACACCAGCCCTGTGTTTCTAATGGCAGCGAGAAGCGTCATTAATGCTTCTAACACTGTACTGTAGACATGATACACCAGCCCTGTGCTTCATTAACAACTCGTGATTGAAGCAATTGTATGAACAACTTTTAACGAGAGAACTTTTCTATCAGTCCCTTGTCATATGTTTGACGACACCTTCACGTTCCATTTAGCGAACACTTGGTGTCATCACTGATTTTCAGTGGTCATTCAAATAATTTTTACTTTTTTTTGCCCTCTATACAAACTGGAATCTGTTTCGGCGGATAATCTAGATTGGTTATTCATTTGCATTGAAAATGTATATATTTGAAGCCACGAGTCTAGTTTCATCACTTGGTCTTTCCTCGTTCAGCTCGATCGTTCGTTCGTGTAAATGTTGAAAAACACAAAGTCCTGTCCTGTTAAGTGTGTATTCATTGATGGACTAAAGCTAAGTAAAGTTGATGTGAGTATAAAACCTTGCGTTTACACTCATAAAATGCTAGTATGAGTGTGTGCTGGCACATGAATGTCTAGGAAGGTACTTAGGATCAACGGTCGCCGGGCCCCCCTTTCCTCCAGGACTTAGCGAGGCTCTCTCTTTAACTGAGAAACAGGGAAACATAGACGTGGTGACTGTGCACGTCACACCTTTCCAATTGTCTTTTTTTGTACAATAAAGGTTTTCACTGCAGTGGCCGTATTTTCGCCATTCTGATTCTGTTTTAGAATTAACATTTTTTACCGAATCACTAAGGTCATCAGATTTCTCTATTGCCGAAAAAAAGATTTCTGAACAGTAGCTGACGATGAAACGAGTCACGAGACAGCCACGAGATTTTCCCGCACTGGATTTGGCAAGGAGCGGCATGCTTGATAGTGAACGACGACGCAACATTTCATACACGGCACTGAAGCTATACGTAATTGCCAAATGCGTGGACGTATACGTGGCAATATGGCCACCAGTTGTATGTGAGCGACGGGGATAGCGGAATACAATGTGCGTGTTTACTGGTATGGTAAAAGCCGATGGCGCTGTTGAGAATGTTTCTTTTTAATATCTGTGAAAAAAATAGGTAATGGAACTTGCATCTACGCACACCCCAAAACGTTAAAAGATGGTACTTGTTGTGGGAGTAGTGCACTTTACCGGGCGCACTTTTTCAGATCCAATTAGCGCTGTGGGGGCTCGAACGCGCTCTGCTAATTAACGCGTTAATGCGTTAATTAGCCGACGCTCTACCACTGGACCACAGGCACTATCACATGTAATCAGTGCTCGTTTAACAGGTCATTAGAATCCCCATTGACATGCATGCGTAATTCAGTAAACAATGAATTGCGCATGCGTGTGACGTCACTGCCCGCTCTCCCATTCATCTTTTCTTGAAACCACACCCGCAATTGTTTATGACAACATGACCGACCAATGGGATTAACTGGATTAACGCTTGAAATGGTAAGAATTTATGGCTAACCCATGCCCAAAGCGAGCTGACCCTAATGACCGAAAAGGGGTTTAGGATCGTAAAGACGTGTAAGTTTCCCTAAGACCGAAAACGGGTGTTGGATCGTAAAGTTGTGTAAGTTTCCCTAAGCCCTAGAACGGGTGTTTGATCGTAAAGATGTGTAAGTTTCCCTAAGACCGAGAACGGGTGTTTCATTGTAAATATGTGTAAGTTTCCCTAAGACCGAAAACGGGTGTTGGATCGTGAAGCGAGAGTCACCAGAGCGTGAGGCACGGTAACGGTATAACGAGACAGCGGTGGCACTATAGCGCGGTAATTGAGCGGATGGTAGAGCTCGGGCTGCGCCTGGTAAACTGCATTGTTGCCCTTGTTGTTACCTTGCCTGTTGTTAAATTATCTTAAAACGTCATTTAATCACACTTTTGAGTTTTAGTTAAGAAATAAAGTTTGCGCTTGTGTAATAAAGTATAATGTTGCCCTGAACTATTATAGCTAAAGCACGAGGACGCTTGCGTTGCTTTGACATTATTACAGTTCAGAGTAAAACTATACTTTATTACACTACACATGCGGTCAGAGAAAACTTTATAACTTGTCTTAGATTGGGAATTTTAAAATACTCAATCTTTTTCTTTGAGATGGGTTTAAAATCGAATCTGTATCAACATGCGGTAAATGGAAAAACCTCGAACAGGCTAACTGACGGGCTGGTCCACTTGATTGCCTGTATACCCCTTAAGCTGAGAGACATATTTACGTTTAAAATATAATACAACATGACTAAAATGTTTAGTTTATTATAATAAGGTCCCATTTTCTTATCCGTTCAGTGTGTGTATATTTAAAAAAAAACATGCAGCACAACGAAGGATTTTGAAAATATTTTTTTGATATTAAATTGCTTAAATTTAATCACGTGACTCTGAACATTCCACATATGTATTGTGGGGCCGAGCTTACATGTAAACATAGCCGAAATTCCATGTCGCTGGTTATTGTGAGTTGAGGTGTTTTCTGTTGTACAAATTGCAGCAACTTAAGCCATGAAATAGTGTGTTTAACGAGGGGGTTGTGCTACATGTTACGGTATCGGACGAGGATCGACGGCCTGGGGTGAGATATGGCGTCGCCGTGAGACGACCATGGCCGAGGAAAAGCAACAATGGCCGGTTTGTTTATATATTATATATATATTGTTGAATGCCGTACGCTGAGCAACAGCTAGGTGCACATGTGATTTTGAAACTTTTCTAGGATTACTCAGTCCTTTGTCCTGATTGTGATTGTATGTTGTTTAACGCCACACTCAGCAATATTCAAGCTATATGACGGCGGTCTGTAAATAATTGAAACTTGACCAGACAATCCAGTAATTAATATCATGTACATCGATCTACACAATTGGGATAGATGACATGCATCAACCAAGTAAATGAGCCTGACCACCCGATCCCGTTGGTCGCTTCTTACGACAACCATAGTCGCCTTTTACAGCAAGCAGGGGTTGCTGAAGACCCATTCTACCCCGGATCATCACGGGTTTATTGATTTATTGACTGCAAGCCTGCACTTCTTACCACAGGAACATATTTTTAAACTGGTCGAGCCCGATGTGCCTGTCCCTTATTCTACTCCAAATCTTCACGCGGACACAATGCTTTGTCGCAGGTTAAGTATAATCGGTGCCATTGATCTTTTAGCGAAGCATCTTAGAATAAAATATAGACATATTTTACGCACGATGATGAGGTACATTTCTTTAACCAATGAAGTAGGCTTAAGTTTTTACCTTTGCATGTAATCTGAAACGAAAGAAGGTAAGACCGTAGTAAGACTTGTATCACTTCACACTGTATTATCTAAAAATGACCGGCACAAGCAGCCGAGCGCCAAACCAAACCATGCTCCTAATCAGACACGTCACAGTGACGTCATAGCTCGCCCCAAGGCGTTTCTTGACTGGCAGTGAGATGTGTCACTCGTGTTAGGACGTAAACGGTGGGTAAGTTTTCAGTTTGTATTTCAGAATGTTTTTAGGAAATTAAATGAAACAGACATTGTAAATATTGTAAGATTGATGTACAATAGAATATATTTTGAAGGAAACAGGTGCTTCACACAATGTTTACACCCAGACGTTTGTTTAGCCTGTCACCAGGGATAAACAAACGTCTGGATGTACACATTCATACCTCGTTTCTACTGAAAAGCTATTTTAATACGTATATTGCAAAATATATGGTTGTAAGTTTCATCCCCTGAACTAATAACACTTATTTACAACTGAGACTGAAGACTAGATCTAAATCTGTTCAGTCAAGTGTCGGCTATTTTTATTCGCTCATATTTTTTAAAACGTTGTTCTACATCATAAAATGGCAGAAATCTAATGAAATACATCCCCACTACAGACCAGGGCCAAATGTGTCAGCCTCATTATTTTTACACTCAGCTTTGTTCTTCTAATCCGGAATATCTTATGTGGAACAAATGTATTTTTGCAGGGCACTAACATTGTTTTTTGAAGGATGGCAAGAAAATGTTAGAATACATAAGGGCAAAATCTCATTATTTTATGATTAAGTTACAACAGACGTTCAATGCGAAAACAATTTGGCGCATGTCACACGGGCAATCGGCATTTCAATCTTATCACTTAATAGGACCAGTTGTTTATTCCCTTCTTCACACAACCAAACACCGTACCAAACATCTTGTCGTACCGGCTACAGTTTCTGCCTCAGATAGTAAGCTGATTTGTGATGGGTGTACTGCCGCCATCGCTCGGAATGCTGAATTATGACAGTGCTGCAAAGAGTTTTCCTGACACTGAATTACCACTGTGTTGCACACGCGCTTAGTCAAGTATACCTGTTGCTCTTTTACATTCATTGTATATCATCATGAAAATGTCATCACTGAAATATTTATCTGTAGCATGTCGTATATCGACGTTTGTAATACTCTATAGCAAGAGACGAGGTAAAATGCACCCGTTTCTGTATCTAGTAAAGAGTGTTTGTATCGGGGAGGATGGGGACTAAAACATCAAGCAAAGTCACTTGGAACAACAAATAATTTACGATAGGTCGCAGCACTCTACATTTAGTAGCCTGTTATCATCAATTGACAAAGGCAGTATGCAGACAGAGAAGCCATCAAGACAGTTGTCGATTTGACGATATAAAAATTGTGTGAAATGTCCATTGTCCTCAGACGTTGAAATGGACGAGAAATATATTTTCCTCCAGAATTACACTGGTGGACGTCATATCCTGGTCAAAATATATATACCGATGTACATTGATTCTCAGTGACAACAAACACCTGAGAATTATTCAAATACACAGGAATAACATAGAAGGCAATGACAATTAGAAAACAGTGTTCAGTATTTCACCTGTATGTACTAGATCTATCCAGTTTTGTTATTCACAGTATTGATCATCAAATGCAGTTCTAGATATTATGCAACAACGAAATAACGGACCAACTTGCGGGCGTCAATGCATTGTCATTACTAATCTTCCTACAATCAAGGAAGTCAGACTAAAATACTAATCATTCCGTAATTGGGAATAAAGAGTAGGTAGCTGATGTAATACCCTCATCGAATGTTCCAATATAATAAATGCACATATTCTGTGTTTCAGTTTATTTGAGATCCGGTCTCTTCTGTGTACAGCAATATAAACTAACATGTTTAGTCCTAAGTCCTTATAATGGGAACATATAAAACCCTTAAAATAGCATATGTTTACGAGCCTAGTCGTTATGATATCTGAACTATTGGGATGTTTGGCAAGGACTATAGGACGAGTGCAATTTTCTATCGCTGGTGGAGTAATGTTCATTTATGTTGTATGTTGTATTCCATTCAGTTCCTGCAACATTTCAACCAAAGGAAAACCCGGGATCGATTCCCCCACATGGGTACAATGTGTGAAGACCATGTCTTGTGTTCCCCGCCCAGATATTGCTGGAATATTGCCAAGAGCGTGTAAAACCCAACTCACCCGACCCAACACAACTACTATTTGACCACTTTTTAAATGGTATTGTGCATTCATATAGCATATTTTGTGTTTCAGCCACCAGTGCCCCCAGTCGGAACAGGAGCCACAGAGAAAGGGCTGAACAGATAACAGTGACAAAGTCTGGTCTACATGGTAGGTAGGAGAACCCAGCAGGTGGTAGATAGTGTCACTGTCCAACTTTGTACGAGATGAGGGCACATCAACATGTATCAAATATAAGCCAGAAAGTTCACACCACAAACCTTCATGTGAACAGTCTCTACAATAACAAGCTGATAAATGTAATCTTTTATTATCCTATTTATTTGAAACAAGTCAACAATTTATTGACAGTGCCGCTATAAGGCTCAATCCAACAAGCGTGAACAGACGCGCGGCTCAGATGAACAGCAATGTCAGTGTTTGTGTTGTATATTAAGATAGTCGTTTGAGTGATTGGTTAGTTGCTAAACTACCTTATATTTTTACCTCTACTAAGATAAACTGAAAGATGAATTCCAATTCTTTTCATCAGTAAACATTTCAAATACATGAAATTTGTAGAATGGCCATATCTTGTATGTATAATGCTTATGTGGTTTGCATAGTTTTCTGAACAGCATATTCTGTTTTCAGCCTCGAGTGATTCGAGTCGGACTGAGAGGACACCAGTGACGACCACAAAAAAACCTGCTACGCAAGGTAGGTTGGAGAACCCAGCAGGCAGAAAGCTCACATTTTAATAATTCAACATTTAACAAGCCCGGGCATAGACCCGTGTGGGTTCTGACTTGCATCTTGGCGTCATCGTAGCTGTCAGTTGTGTAGATCGGTGCTCATGTTATCAACCACTGGACTGTCTGTATCAGACCCCGCCATCTTATTGCTGGACTACTGCTGAGTGAGGCATAAAACAAAAACAAACAGGCTGACATAAACCAATGTCATGTCTTAATATCCTCACATTTCCAAACAGCAACTGTACTGACAGTATCATCTTATAAAGCTCACTTCATCAACTCTCCAGCCATTCACAGAATAATGTTACAACTACTGGATGTATCAGAAAGATTTTAAACATTGAATACATAATGCTTGATTTCATGAACCAGCTGCCGTCCTTCCCCTTGATCGTTGTATTGTCAACCATGTTGGAAGTTTTTGATGTCGTTTCGTGTCACAGTAGATGTATGACGATGATGTCTGGATGTGTACAGAGTTTACTTTGTGTTACAGCGACTCCATCACCAGCAGACTGCGACGACCTAATTTACGCCAGCAGAAGGGGGAACCTGGAGGAGGTGAAGCGGCTCCTGTCTCTAAATGTCGACGTCAACTGTAGGGACAGTTATAGCAGGACACCGGTGATGTGGGCAGCAGGGCGGGAACACGCAGAAGTGGTGGAGCTCCTGGTGAGGAAAGGAACCGATGTGTCACTGGTGGACGAGGGCGGTAGCAGTATTCTTCACTTCGCCTGTTATGCAGGAGACATGGAGATTGTTAAGTTTGTGCTGTCACTGAACGTCTTGGACATCGAAAGTAGAGGAGAGTTGAGCAGGACACCGGTGATGTATGCAGCAAGGTGGGGACACAGGGACGTGGTGGAGCTCCTGGTGAGTATAGGAGCCGATGTGTCACTGGTGGACGATGACGGTGACAACATCCTTCACCTCGTCGGTTGGGGAGGAGACATGGAGACGGCGAAGTTTGTGCTGTCACTGAACGTTGTGGACATCGACGCCAGGAACAACGACGGGCGGACAGCGGCGGACGTGGCGAGATCCGGGAGACGTCGGCGAGTGGCGGATCTGCTGGAGTCCCGCGGCGCTCAATGACGTCAGTGCCGTGTTTGTGTAGACGGTGAAGAAGACCTGGCAGTGACGTGGCTTGCCGTTCACGTCATCGTGTGTCTTTATTTACGTGAAACTGTTTGTTGATTTGGGGGATGAATAAAACTTGTAAAAGCTTTTTCAGACATTTTCTCATTTGTTGTGTTCGGATCAGGTAAGAAAATTGTTAACTTGATTGTTAAGATGATGTGTGATTGGTATGTCAGCACCGCACCTCGCGATATGTCCATGCATGTCGTTATATATTTCTGTGTTAATTTAACGTCATAAGTTTGTACTTAATCGTCAATCAGACAACAGACTGTTTGTTTACATCTTGCTGCGCGTACGGTTCAAAATTCAATTGAGCGTGGTCTAATCTACAGATAACCTAGCTCTACATTAAAAACACAGTTTGTTTATTCCCATTCTACCATGACTAAATAAACAAAACCAGTGTTTTGGGTGGGTTATCGATCTGAATTACGGAATCACCGAACAAAATATGGCGCTGTATATACTCAAGCAGTTTGTTAACACCGTAATACTTCACTCGAACATATGACAGGCATTGAATGCATATAAGCACGGCAACTTGGTAAGCTAACATGAGGTGGGCGTCCCTAAAGAAAACAAAGAAAGCTTTGCAAGGCGTTCGCTCTACATCTCGCGTCAGCATTATGACGTCATGTCGCTCAATGTGGAATGTGTGAAATGTAAACAAAGCAAAATACAGATTTTACACAGTGTAGCATTTTCTCCTATTTTGAGCTATCCTTTCGTCTATTTGTTGCTTACATTGGCTCAACATTTTCAGAATACACATGAGTAGACAATCGTAGGAAGAATTAGGGAATTAAAAAAAACACATAGCAATGGTTTGGTGAACTGAACACAAATTGTCTTCGTTTCCGCCCTCTGTCACGCACATCGACAGCGAAATTTTAACGTCAGTTTTCGACATTTACTGCAGGCTATTTTAAGTAGTGAATGTATAACCTTATACATAAGCATATACATGCATTTCATATATATTTATGTTGTTCAGATATTTGGCAGAATTCGTTCTCTCACAGCTACTATATAAAAAAGAAATCGTCGCACAGTACTTCTGTCGGTGTACAATAACAAGCGGCGAAATTTGTTGTTTTTCAACGCAGAATAAATTCTTGGACAACACTTCTTGGCCGACGTTCTACCATTGGACCACGGTGGCTGTCCATGACGCAAAGTATACAATAACTCGTAATTGTTCAGAGCTTTCAAATGAAAATAACATATATCTTATATTACCGATTCTTGTGTGGTGGTAATGCTTTAATCTCTACATTTAACCCTTGTCCATGTGCTCTTGTTCTATTCAGCAAACAGTTCAACATATCAGATAACACTGACACAGCCTAGCTTTAGCGGGATTCTCCGTGACTAATACTTAGTCGATGAATACATTTCTCTAAAATATTTTGGTTTTCAAAAGAACCTTTCCTCTTCTCTTGTTTTCATATGTGGAATCAAGGAAACTGGACTAGACAAGGTTTAGTTGATATAGACTTGCCTAGGCCTTTATTGAATATATATATATATATATATATATAAATATATATATATATATATATATATATATATATATATATATATGATCCAATTGCAGAAGAGAGTGCTCAATACAAAGTAGAGCATAAATACAGATTTGAATACACTTTCCTTATATCATTTTGCAACTCTGAGTTTCCACCTGTCGCCATGGTAAACCCCCAAGCCGAGCAAAAAAGAAAAGGTCAAACTAAAAACCATGTTTCATTATGCCTGATGATCGTACGCAATACCATGGGTTGCGTGAAACTCAGAGTTGCAAACTCATATAACGAAAGTGTATTCAAATCTGTATATATATATATATATATATTGTTCGTTGGATTTTATTTTGAAGAAAAATATTTGTATCTACCACAAGTTTATTTCGGGGACTTAATGTGTGTCTTCTGACACCGGTACTGCCCCCGATGTAGCTATTTATAGCTCAAATAAGAATATCACATTCTATCGCCTATTTATTACAGTCAATTTGACTGGAATTTACATTACTCCCAGACAGGATAGGGAAGTGCCAAGTTTCAAATGTTTCGATGTCAGCAATATCCCAGTGATATGACAGCGGTATCTACATTATTTCAATGACGTGTACTGATATCCAATACAATCGTTCTATTCTATGGGGTAATTAACTGGATCAGCGGTGACATGTGATAATAATTTGCCATCTATATCTTTCTTGGTTGGTCTATCAATATTTTACATTCAAGAGCACATTTTACATAATTCACTGAACCATGATGGCGGAATGTCTACATGTACATACCAACTGTATACATTTTGACAAACATTCCAAGACAACATCTAATTTAGCCATCGTTTACATGTGGGCTTGTTCCGCTGTTGGCAGTGTTAGCGGTGAAACATTCACAACGAACAGCACCGGACACAGCTGCCCGTCTATAATATCATTTGACATGGCCAATTATTTAAGTGAACAAGAGCCGAATAAGCGAGGGGTCCCTTATCCACCTTATTCGACTCCTTGTAAAATCTTATATCTCACCCCTAATGGAACAGCGTCCCGCATAGATATAGTCTACACACATAAATCTCTCGATGGTGAGAACAATGTCCCGCATACATTCAGTCTACACACATAGTTCTCACAAAGGTGGGAACATTGTTCCACATACATATAGGCTACACACATATATCTCACCAAGGTGGGAACATTGTTCCGCATAAATATAGGCTACACACATATATCTCACCAAGGTGGGAACATTGTTCCGCACACATACTGGCTACAAACATATATCTCACAAAGGTGGGAACAGTGTCACGCATACATACAGGCTACACACATAGATCGCACAAAGGTGAGAACAGTGTCCCGCACACATTCTGGCTACAAACATATATCTCACAAGGGTGAGAACAGTGTCCCGCATACATGCAGGCTACACAGATATATCTCACAAAGGTTGGAACAGTGTCCCGCATACATACAGGCTACACACATAGATCTCACAAAGGTGAGAACAGTGTCCCGCATACATACAGGCTACACACATATATCTCACAAAGGTGGGAACAGTGTCCCGCATACATACAGGCTACACACATAGATCTCACAAAGGCAACACGCATATATTTCACAAAGGTGGGAACAGTTCCCCACATACATACAGGATACACACATATATCTCACAAAGGAGGGAACAGCGCCCCGCATACATATAGGCTACACACATATGTCTCACAAAGGTGGGAACATTGTTCCGCATACACAGAGGCTACAAAAAATATATCTCACAAAGGTGAGAACACCGTCCCGCATACATACAGGCTACACAGATATATCTCACAAAGGTGAGAACACCGACCCGCATACATACAGGCTACACACATAGATCTCACAAAGGCAACACGCATACAATCTCACAAAGGTGGGAACAATTCCCCACATACATACAGGATACACACATATATCTCACAAAGGTGGGAACAGCGCCCCGCATACATATAGGCTACACACATGGCTCACAAAGGTGGGAACAATGTCCCGCATACATAAAGGCTACACACACATATCTCACAAAGGTGGGAACATTGTCCCGCATACATAAAGGCTACACACATATATCTCACAAAGGCAACACATATATATCTCATAAAGGTGAGAACAGTGTACCGCATACATACAGGCTACACACACATGTCTCACAAAGGTGGGAACATTATCCCGCATACATATAGGCTACACACATAGTTCTCACAAAGGTGGGAACATTGTTCTTCATACACACAGGCTACACACATATATCTTACAAAGGTGGCAACATTGTCCCGCATACATTCAGGCTACACACATATATCTCACAAAGGCTACACACATAAATCTCACAAGGGTGGCAACATTGTCCCGCATACATACAGGCTACCCACATACATCTCACAAAGGTGGGAACAGTGTCCCGCATACATGCAGGCTACACACATATATCTCACAAAGGCTACACACATAAATCTCACAAGGGTGGAAGCATTGCCCCGCATACATACAGGCTACTCACATACATCTCACAAAGGTGGCAACATTGTCTCGCATGCATACAGGCTACACACACATATCTCACAATGGTGGGAACAGTGTCCCGCATACATACAGGCTATACACATATATATCTGAAAAAGGCTACACACATACATCTCACATAGGTGGGAACAGTGTCCCGCATACATTCAGGCTACACACATATATCTCACAAAGGCTACACGCATAAATCTCACAAAGGTGTCAACATTGTCCCGCATACATACAGGCTACACATATGTATATCTGACAAAGGGTACAAACAAATATCTCACAGACGTTGGAACAGTGTCCCGCATACATGCAGGGTACACACATATATATATATCTGACAAAGGGTACAAACAAATATCTCACAGATGTTGGAACAGTGTCCCGCATACATACAGGCTACACACACATATATATCTGACAAAGGGTACAAACAAATATCTCACAGAGGTGGGAACAGTGTCCCGCATACACACAGGCTTCACACACATATCTCACAAAGGTGGGAACATTATCCCGCATACATACAGGCTACACACATATATCTCACAAAGACTACACATATATATCTCACAAATGTGAGAACAGTGTACCGCATACATACAGACTACACACATATGTCTCACAAATGGAGGCAACATTGTCTCGCATACATACAGGCTACACACATACATCTCACAGATTTGGGAACAGTGTCCCGCATACATACAGGCTACACACACATATATATCTGACAAAGGGTACAAACAAATATATCACGGAGGTGGGAACAGTGTCCCGCATACATACAGGCTACACACACATATATATCTGACAAAGGGTACAAACAAATATCTCACGGAGGTGGGAACAGTGTCCCGCATACATACAGGCTATATACGCATATATATCTGACAAAGGGTACAAACAAATATCTCACAGAGGTGGGAACAGTGTCCCGCAAAGAGAGTCTTGTAAAACTTAGTGGCGAGCTGGACAAAAACATCCATAAATGTATGTCTTGAATTTCAAACAAT